TCGACGTCTCCCTTGTCCTACGTACGGCTCGGGTGTTCACGCATGATGCGAGTGCGCCAATCCGGGCATCTTCGTGCACTCTCTTGCAACTCTATCAATGAATTCAAATATTCTCCTTATGAACATATTGCTGGTTCTAGCGCCGTTGACTGGTCTCTGCCACTCATAAGGAAACTGGGGTGCGCTTCATGGTTTTGAATATTGCTAGGATACTTGGATGGCCACCAACGCCGGTGTGGCCGGCCTGGGTGGCCAACAGCAAGCGTATGACTACGACGTGAGTAAGGAGAATTGGGCACGGTGAAAATATCAAGAGAGTTGGCTTACAGCACGTTCTACAGATTTTTGAGCTCGAGGGTCCAGTCCTGCCCCAAAACTTCCCGAGCAAGGCGGGAGGACATGCGTTCGAACTTCGGGGAATTAATCTCATGGTATATTACGGTCCGAAAAGCCGAGAAAAGCGTTTTCCTGCATCTGTTGAGGTCATGGACAAGCACCCACATGGACTACGTATAACAGCCTTCTAGCGCTGAGCACTGTCTTTCTCTCGCCTTCTAGCCGTGCATTCAGCGGCTAGCCCTTGGGCCATTTAAACTCTCAAACTACCGTCACCCAGCACCACTTCAAAGGCAATATCCTAGAACGATGGATGGAGAAATGAAACGCTCCTAGTAGATAAATTTGCGATAGCGGACGGGTGGAACTTCCCCGATAAATGCTGAAGATAATCAATCGAACGCGATTTCGAACGCGATTTCCAACATTTCGAACGCTTCAATCGCTGAAGGAATCAGATAATCCAGAGAACGGAACCAATACTCTACTCCTACTTCTGGAAACAAGTCCTCTTCTATTCCAACGCCTGGGCTTTAGATGCCAAAAGGAGAGCCGTCACTGACCTATTGGGTACTATATGTTCTGACTTCACATGACGGCCGAGGATTGATGTTAAGAACAGCAGCCGGAGGTCACTTTGGGAACTGGAAGTTCGTCGGCGAACGAGGAGAACAGGGGAATTTACATTCGAGGGAAATCGGGGTGGACTGGGTATATTTAAGGAACAGCCAGGCGGCGGTGCGATCGTCGAAAGAGGGTATTCCTATACGCGTATGACGGGCAGCGTCCATTGATTCGGCATTGGGAGACTGAGTACTATTGTCGTCCACCATCCCCTCAAACAAAGTAACAGCGTAGTCTGTAGAGACCTTCGTAACCACGATTTCGGGCGATCTTCAATGTCCCCTCAGAAAAACAAGATACCCCAAAAATCCTCTTCTTTCAGGATAAGAACAAGGACTCCGGCCAAACTCCGGCTATATAGTACCCAATCGTCCGCACCCTCTTCTAACCTCTTTCGCTCTCCTTCAGCGCCGGAAAACCTCCCGTTCTTGGCCCCGACCGCCGATCGCCCATCATCGACGCCATCAGCGTGGCGCATTGCCGTCATCATTCTGCCCGTCGTGGTACCGGCACCGAGACTGTAAGATCGGGCAGCGATCAGAGAGTAATCGTCGACGGTAGGAGTGTATGAGTATGAGACTGATGAATACTTTAGAGCGCGATGGAGGGGGCGGTTGAATTCGCGCTGGTAGGACATGACACTCCCGATTTTCTGTCCGTCAAACTCGTCATTCGTTCGGTAAGTGATGATCTTTACCTTTACATCCTTCGTGATGGCGCGTACCCCTTCCACGGGAGTCTAGAATTCCGGCCAGTGTTTTAGGCAAGTCACGAATGGGGTACGCGAACGCGAGATCTTGGAAGTCGGGTGTTCGCGTTGAAGGGCCCCGTCGACATGGGAGCTAGAAGGTGTCCAGGAGTCAGGTGCTCAGGTGCTCGTCAAATTTCAATCATAAAGGTCATGTCGATAAGTTACGAATGACAGGTGGAGGGTCTTCGACGACTAGACGAAGTAGCGACCTGGTCCAGGGGAAGGGTAAGTATTTCATGATGTGCTTTGAAATTTGCAATTGATACTCTGGTTATGAAATTTGATAGGTAACTATTGGTATCGACGTGTCGTAATTCTTGGAATATGTACTTAGGTTACGAAATTTTCATGAGCTGTAAAAACCCCCGTACATTATGCACTGGGAATTAATGATTGTAGTTGTGGGCGTACGTTAAGGCGCGACGTCGGGCGATGGGGAGAAGTGACCGGCTTTCATCACGGGGACATATCGTTTTTTTTTCGAT